GACCTGGCCAAACAGAGTCGCAAGTAGACCCAAGTAGAGCGTACAGGTCATCGTAATATTCCTGTTATTACCCTCTCCCCCCATTCCTTAAACTCATAAACCTCGCCATACCCCAGTTTATCTGTTCAGCTGTCACAATCCGTCAGTATCTATTGGACGTGGACAGCGAATTCTAAGTCTACTATCGGCAATTTTCAAGAAGTACAAGCGAGAAATGACTTATTACCGAAATGAAGTTTTCTGGCCATCAGTTCTTGAAAAGACTTAAGTGGACATTTCCCGAAGATAAGAATCCCGTTCGCGTCCGAATTATTCAACATAACAGAAAAATAAATTTACTTCTAAAATGAAACTTTCTCTTCTTTCATTTAAAAGTTAACAATTTTGCGTATAAGACCGCCAAGGGATTCAACTTACCTTTGGCGTAACAGTTTGGACTGATGGAATGATTGGCGAACCTGATTTTGTTTCCCTTACGAGTAGCGTCCACGACAAAGTCTGAAAAACACAGCAAATACAACGAGAAAAAGTACGAAACTGTAAAGATAAAGCTGTTCTTTAAAGCCCTTTTAAAGAATGGCTCTCAGAACTGGCGTAACTTGAATAACTGACCGACAGTGCAAAGAAATCGTCTTCCACGAAACAAATTAGTAGCGGTAAACGAATACCAGTGGTAAAGTCGACAGTGACCGCTAAAATTCAAGCACGGATTCAAGTTGTTGTTTCATTTCCCTTACCATTGTTAAGATTGAACAAGAAGCTGCACATGTACTTGTCGTAAACTTTTCCCCTGCGGTCCGCCTCGTCCTGAGAAATGATCTACAAAAGAAACAAGACCAGAAACCGGTAAGGCACCGTGACAGTAAAAGTCTAGCCCAAAAAAATTGCAATAGAGAATTTTACGATAACTGCAGAAATTCTCGCGCGCTGATTGACTAATTTTTATTGTCAATAAGCGGACAGACACATGAATTTATAATTTATGCAATGCGTCAGCAAGCGAGGGCGGACAATTTGACAATTTGTTATCGTAAAAAACAAATTGACGTCAGTTTTTAATGCGTTATGTCCTGTTATTGACTATGAATTTCGCCATAACATTGTTTAAGTAATCTGCGGACCAACTCGGCCATCGCCTCGTGGATCCACAGCTACTTTGACAATATTATGACGAAATTCATGATCAATAACATGACAGACGCATGAAAAACTGACGTCAATTTGTTAATCTGACTTTCCGCGAATTCATCCCGCAATTTTCGGTACTATTGCTAAGTAACGTAACGTGTCCTGATGGCGAATAGCTGACGCAACTTTCGAAACGCTCGTGTTTTTCCTGATTGGCGGATAGCAAAAACTGAAAAGTCCTCGGCTTCACAGAAATTGCCGAATACGACTGATTGCTTTCCCAACTTTTCATTGTCTATTCCGACTGACTTCTATTTTGTTGTTTACTGACAAGAAGAGCAACGATTCTATTTAGTAACATTGTCACGCATTTGATTTGTCCTCCGTGCCCATTAGTATGTTTGGGTTGTCACACCACGCTGAGTGGTGTTGCGTGACAAGGCAGACAACGGCTGTCAAAAAAAGCAATACATGGTATAGCCTGTTTACCAAATCATTGAAATCTGTAAAAAAGAACCTTCTGTCCTACCTCTCCACAGTATTCGCCAATGAATTCATTCTTTTTGCAAGACACCTTGATATAGATGCCCCAGCCAGCCACATCAGAGGGGGCAAGCAAAAGATGCTGAACAAACACAACAAAATATTGAAAATAACTTTCAAAACCACAAAGACAAGGTGTTGAGCATTCCAATGAAGAACAAACCTTTCGCTGACCGCGTTGAAGGCCGACATTCCGACAGGAAATGTTAGTTGTTCCATCAAAGGTATCTAAACAGCGACAAAGAAAAGTTAAAAACTTAGTCGTGTCTTTTCTTTCGTTACAGCAGTCACGTCTTGATAATATTGACCTTGTAGGGGAATCTTTCTTTAAAATATTTGCCTCATTAGCATAAGCGATACAGTTTCTTCTCAAGCTTCAAAAAAAAAAAAAAAATCAGCTCTGAATATTGAAAGGGCACAAAACGATTAACTCTGCCAAGGAATTGAGCTCGATGTACCGAAGAGCTAAATATTTTACAAATTACTAAGTTTCACTAGCTCTTTAGATGCTTGGAGTCAGTTTGTGGGTAACATGTCTTCTCTGCTAAAAGTCATATTTTAACGGGGGAAAATGTAAACAGTGACGTCAGTAAAGATTGTTCTATTAGTTCGGTGAAACAGTCTTCGGCTTCTTCGTTAACAAGACGAACAGTTTCCGATCTTAGATAGCCAATTGGACGAAAACACGAACGCTTCGGGAGAAATTAATCCGAAGGCTCTTTTCCGACAGCAGCTGAGCGGGCTTGTTGAATTTCCAGGAAAGTAATATTGCCCTGTAATTTCCCAAACAAATAAAAACAGTGATTTCTCAAATAGGTAGCATACCCGTCACCAACTTACCGGCTCCACATGTCTGACAGAGGTCTGGGTCACATTCTCTGACCGCTAAGAAGCATGGGCACTGTTTGGTGTTGCACTGCGCTTTACAACGACAGCCAGGGAAGCGGTTTTGACCTGGCGGAGGGAAGGGACAGTCAGTTATTGTGCCAATGAACAAGAAGGAAAAACATGAAGGGCAAGTAAGTCAGAGGAAATGAATTGTGTGTTTGAAAAACTCATTTTTGAGGTTTTCTTGGATTCTGCATTCGGTTGAAAACGTTTTACAGTGTACAACGCGAAAAACAAAATTTATCAATAATGGGATACTATTTGATGTACCACTAAATTCTCACGTCGACATTGAAGGAAACTTACTGCAACCTGTAAGGAGTATTCGACTTACAATCAGTGCTGCATTGACAGAACTTCTCACAGAAGTTTTGTGTCGCCACACAGATACATGATTGATCACATGGTTGTCCAGGATGGTCACACGGAATATAGTTATACACATGTGTAGAGGTGCTGTCTGAAAAGTTAAGAAAACGAAAGAGTTAATCATCTTTTTTGGCAAAAAAGGGACAGAAATGAACGATGCCAACACTAAAGCCAATGTAAATGGTTTGAACCCAGGAGTATCAGTAGTTCGTATAGTGTGATCGTCCGGGTGAGGGTAGTCCTGAAAAGAACTGTTGTTGATGACCGACGTTATCGACAATCTGAGCGGAAGTCATCTTCAGAGTCAAGTGGCGGAATAGTGCTTATCAGTCGATGATGTTATATGTCTGGTCCGTTGAAAGTGATTGGTCAGTTTAGCCGTGATGAGTAAAGTTTGTCAGCAGTCATTGGTCGGTTCTACTAAGTTTCGATCCGACAATCAAACTAAGTCGGTCTGTTTGAGGTCCCTCTGTTGCTAGTCACTTGACTATGAAGATGACCCAAAACGTCAGTCCCCAACAATATTTTCTTTCAGAGCTACCCTCACCCGGACAATCGCACAAGACGAACTACTAAACCCATAGCTCCCTACACTCCTTCCCTCATAAGTGTAGCAGCTCTTATAAGTTTGTACTTCTATTTGTCATCACAGTAAAGCAGCTGTTATTGTTTTGTGGCTAGGGGCATTGTTTCAGTTGTTTTTTCCAGGTATCAGTCCATTCAAATGAGAACTAGTGATAGCTGCTATCTGAGCCCCTACCCTCCCAGCTCCGAGTAAAACTATGGAGATTCTTCATAAACAAAGTCGGTTTTGGTCATCACATAAGCAGTCACAAAATATATCAATACCTTTTTTCAGTTGAATCTTCCTACAGTGTAGTGACCACATTCTGTAAATAGGAAAAAACAACACAAAACTTCAGTGAAACTTTATATGAAATTAGAGGCCGACAATTTCTGAGTAACGGTGCTTTCAAGTGGCACCACTATGGTGGTACAAGCAATCTTTTGGTTGTTGTTGGTTTGGACGTTGTGATATCCTTGCCTGAGTTTTCCTCAAACACAAATCCAAACTGACCGTTTTCAAAAGCCTTTTGCAAATTTCTCTGGCATATCATTACATATACTGCAATCAAAGCTGCGTTGTCTTTGAAAGTAAGAAAACTCCATTCGTTTGTGACCAGCCTACGTGGCTGGTGGGATTTTGCTCGTGAGTTCTTCCGCGAACGCTTTGGGGCTAAGGCTAGCGGCTCCGCCACTGAAACAGAGCACTCATCTTGTCCGTGAAATTCTACCAACCATGAACACTAGTTTCTAGCCAACAATAAAGTTAAGACCTGTGTTTTCTTTTCTTTTTCCTTGGTGGTGTATCCTGATCATCAGCTGTTGGTAGTGGCTCATGTGACTCTTGTAATGCCCTCAGATATACCTGAATTAAAATGCATCAAGATTTAAATTCCAAATACTCTACAACCACTGGTTAATGATGCACCAGGGGTTTCCTTAAGACCGAGCACCGGGCCAATTGACTGGCTCTGAGGATGGTTTTGCTTGCCTGGTTTGACCATCTAGAGGAAAGTTTTCTTTATAAAGAAGTTCAGTTCAAAAGGTTTTGCCCTCCTATGAAAACCAGTTTCTCTCCTGCTGAGAATGTCAATGAAAGCCCTTATTCACCAAAATCTAATAAACCAAATATAACTTCAAAAAAGGTACATTTCAGAAGCTTTTAGGAGAAGTCAGTACAGAAATGCTTACCTCTTTACAAGTCTTTGAGTGAATCAGGTTTGCAATACTGCAGTAGTTGTTACAGTAGATTGGTCTCAAAACACGGAATAGCGATGCCTCTGCTCCTGTCCATTCGGTGGTGATGAATGAATGTTCTGGACTGTTACCGCCAGTCTTAAAATGAAACAATAACAACACTAGGCTTACAATTTCTGTTCAATTTCTATTCTATGCAATTTCTTAGTGATAAGTGTAATGCATAACAATGTGACAATGCGTGCAGGCATCTTTTTTCTACCCGTTCCTGATTTCTTTTATTATTTTGCCACTACGGCACCATAAGCTACAAATGAGGTAATGTTTTTACTTCACAATTATGTTCTTTAAGTGTACAATCTCTTACC